CTTACTAACTTTCTTTCTAACTTATCTTTTTCTAAAAAATCTCCGGTTACTTCTAAACAAACTACTATCTCTCCTACTCAAAACAAAAAATCTGGAAAAAAAGTTTGAGTTAAACCCACTTCATCAATTAATTCAATCCCATACCCGTAATGAGTTGGATTTCTACATCAATCATCTATTTCAACTAAATTATCTAATTCGGTAGCAGTTCTTTTTTCTAAATTGTTTAAGCCACTATATTTTTCATGAATAGCATTTTTAAATGGTTGACATTTAGTTTCTTTCTTTTCTACTTTAATCCCTTTCACCTCATAAGGTTTTTCTAAACTAATTCGCAATAAACTTTCATTTCTATAAGTATTAATTAACCCCTCACCAACCGCTCTCAACTCTTTGTCTGCCTCAGAACCTCAGCCAATTTCTACTTTAAATTTAGGGTCTTCTCATTCCAACATATTCCACACTTTTGTATTTTTGTTAACAATTACTCTTCTTAAAATAACTTGTGCTGGAACCATATTAGCCAAACCAAAATCCTCCTCTCAAATCCGATCTTGAATTATCTCAGGATTACCTAAATCTTTTTCCGTTCTTTGAACTTTACCAATATTTTGCCGGTGTTTCAAAGGATAGTCTTTCTCATAATTAGGAATTCTATTGACTACTTTCTGTAATTTTCTTTGAATATATTCGCTATCTCAGGTTAAAAAAGGAAACTTTTTTGCCTATCTTATCCGGTTTAGGAGGAAGATCTTTTAAATAACTAATCCCTCCTTTGGGAGGTTTAATTTCAATATCTCCTCCTAATTTTAATTTCTCATTCAGTTCATTAATAATTTTCTCAAATACCTTGTTTTCATCTATTCGGATATGAAAATAGGCTTTATTTAGTTCTTCGCTAGCATAATACCGGCAAAAAGGTTGCCGTAAAACTCGGCCAATTATCTGTTCTACTGCGACTTCACTTCCAATGGTTTTGTCAATATAAGCCAAGTAAACCATTGGGTCGTCTCAACCTTCCGCCAGTGATTTATTGAAAATAATATGTTGATAATTCCCTTGGATAAATTTCTCATAAGTGTTTTCAGAAGGGCTAGATTTCCCCTTATTAAATAAATTGAGAGTAAATTCAATATCGAGAGCATATTTTTCCTCTTTTGCCACTGCTACATCAGCATAAATAGCAATAGTAGAGGGGTCAACTCCTTTTCGTTTAACTAGATGTCGCCAAATTAAAATAGGAGGAGCGTTCCTTAATTCAAAAGGAACTTGGGGATTATCTCTTTTGCTTCCTTTAGTTTTGGTAGATGATAATTCCAACAAATTAGTCTTACAAACATAGATAATTTTAGGAGTAGGCAAACCTTCTTTTTCCGCGGCCTTTTTTAATTCCATCCAGTCTTTATCCAACATTTCATTCAAAACCTCCTCCATTTGCGATTTATAGCCTCCTAACACTACTTTTCCTTTTACCATTTTTTTCTCTTTTACTTCTGTAAAAGGAACTACGTAAAGAGGTTCAAAACCATTATCTTTTAATTCACTTTGGTAGTCGGTTAACTTAGAGGGCAAAGAAGGGGTTCCTGAGGCTAAAATTAGGGCTTGGGGTTGTAATTCTAAAATTTTTTCAACTTGGCTATCAGTCAAATTATGGGCCTCGTCATAAATAACAATTAAATCTCTTTTTTTCTTGGTTAAATAATCTTTTCTCTCTTTAATCAATTCTCAGGCCGATTTGTCTCCTTTGTCAGGTTGGGCTTGATAAATTAGACGAGTTTCTTTATTTTGGACGCTAAATTTTTGAATAGTGTCAACGTAAATTAGTGGCGTGTCTAGTTGGGTAATGTCGCTCGGAGAAATACCTAAAAAAGATTTTACTTGAGCCGAAAGAACTAGACTTTTATATTTCTCTTTTAAATTATGGTAAGTTTGCTGAACTACTACCTTATTACAACTTAACCAAAAAATAAGGGGTTGAATTTCGGGATAATAAGTTAAAAGATTGCTGACAGTTTGAGCAAGAATGGCGGTTTTTCCACTGCCGGTAACACTCGATAATAATTTCAAAAAAGGTATAGTTTGACCTTTGACTTTGAGCGGATTTTTTCGGTAATCAAGATATTTTTCGGTTAATTGGTCGGCCGCTTGGCGTTGGTAACCATGTAAGTTAAAAGAGGTTATTTGACTCATGAGGGCTTAATTTTGCGAGTTTTTAGCCCGGCTTCGGGACTAATTCCAAACTCTAATAATAAATGGTCGGGGATTTTATGGAAGCTAACTGGACGAGGGGAATAGACTTGGGTGCGAGCGTAAATGTGATAAATAGGGGTTAATTTATTATCTTTACCTTCTAATGCACATTGCCGGTAAACTTTTTCGGTGATTTGACTTTCCCGTTTTTTTTCTCCATTTCAGATTAAATAAATTCCTTCGTTTTGATGATTTTTAGCAATTAGATAATTACCAGATAAAGGAGTTGTATCTAATTGAGTAGATAAAATAGCCTCAATTAACTCTTCCCGTTCCATTTCTAAAATAGTTTGGGAATCGATTTGTTTAGTTAGTTTGAGATATTTAAAATCTCCTGGTAAGGGTTCATGGGGTTTGTCGTCGGCTCATTTACCAACAATTACTGCTTTTAAACGAGGAACTAATAAATTGCGGGCAAAAGTGTCGCCATTGTGAGGGTTTCCTTGTTCTATCAAAGTAAATGTTCGGTTAGTTTTTTCGGTTTGGTTCAGTTGTAAAATTGCTTCTCCTGTTGTTCCTGAACCGGCAAAAGGGTCTAAAACTAGTCCTCCCTTAGGACATCAGAGTTGAATAATTTTAGTAAATAATTTTAAAGGCTTCACTCCAATAAAATCACCTTTAAAATCTACTCTTGCTTTTAATTCCGCGGTTCCGGCTTGGCTATGCCCAGAAACTTGGTGGTGGAATGAAACGCCTTTACTCTCTAATTTATAATCTCACCATGTTAGGGGGTTAACTCCTTGGTTCACTTCGGCAAAATACAGTTTAAATCGTATTTTGCCGAAGCCACCTTTTAAGTAAATTAAACGTGGTCAAACTCCTTTATACATCTCATTAGCTTTTTCTTTCGCTCGTCTAAAAACTGGATCTTTTTTTGGATTTTCTAAATGCTTTAAATCAAACCCTTTTAAAATTAATCCAGGAACGCAACCATCATCCAACTTTTTTTCCTCATATTCCGAGCCCCATTCCTCTAAAAGCGGTTTCATTTTTGGCTTGGTATACCTTCATTTGTTTCCTTCAAAGGGATAATACAATTCTCCCGAAAAAGGGTTTTGAATGGCATATATCATATTTTTGCTGAGATTGCCCTTTATTAATGAAGTAGTAGAACGCCAAGGGCCTTTGGGGTCATTATCAGGATTAGAAAAACGAGCCTTTTGGGCTTCGGTTTGAGTTAGTTTACCAGTCTGGGCTTTTTCTAAACTCTTGGCATAAACTAGAACATAATCCGTAGCAGTAGAGATGTGAGTAGTTGTTTTCGGAGCATATGCTTTTTGTCAGTTAATTATCGCAATTCTATTTTCTACTCCAAAAACTTCATCTAACATTTTCCCTAAATTAAAAAGTTCCTGTTCTCCAATACATATCGCCAATATTCCGCTGTCTTTCAACATCTCTTTCATTAGAATTAATCGAGGCAGCATAAATTTCATTCATTTGGTATGTCTAGCAGGGTCGTCAGATTTAATTAAATCTCCTAACTCTTCATCATTAGGCAGTTTAGTCTGTTTATCATTATAACGAAAATCTTTACCAGTATTATAAGGAGGGTCAGTCAGAATTAAATCAACTTTATTTCGATATTGATAAAGAGAAGCGAGAGCATGTAAATTATCACCTTCAAGAACGAGATTAGAAGAATTATTAGGATTAAAAGAATAACGAGGAAGTTCTTTTAAAATGCGGGGATTAATTTTGCGAATTATCTGTTTAGCAATATCTTTATCCGGGAAGATTATTTTAATCCCTCCCCCTTCGGTGATGGCTCCTAATTGAGCCTTTAAGCGAGAGTTTTCGGCTAGTAATTTTTCCCAAGAAGTAGATTGAGACATATGTTAATTTTTAAGTTAAGGTCTAAAAAAAATATATGTCTAACTCCCTTTCTGAACTAAAAATACCAGGAACTTATAATATAGCAAAAATTAATTGTGAGTTAACCGAAATTCACCCTCAACATGATGAATGATGTGAAAGGAAAGTCCAAGTAATTATGAATACTAAACCTGAACCGTTAAGTATTACTGCTAATTACTTGAAAAAAAATGGTTGACCTGCTCATATTCAACTAGTAATAGTTGAGAAATTATTACCGGAGGCTTTTGCTAATTGGTTAGAGTATATGAGAAAAGAGGAAAAGAGAGTAGGAATATTATTTCCGGCAATGGTGAAGTTTGCTTTTTCTCCTCATATGAGCGAATATGTTGATTATGGGTGAGACAAAAAATATTTTTGGGAGGAAATTAGACCAATTTTACCTAGCAAGGAGGGGAAAAGGAAGTAGATTGTCTCTTTTGTTATTTTTTTAATAACTACCCCTCATGTAAATAATATGTATAAAATAAATATATATGATATAAATCGTATATAATGATTATTTATGACAGTAATAGCCTTTATCTCCCAAAAAGGCGGAGTAGGAAAATCTACTTTAGCCCGTGCCTTGGCTGTCGAGACCAGCAAAGGAAAATTAAAAGTCCTTTTAGCCGATTGCGACCCTCAGCAAAGAACTAGTGATAATTGAAACCGATTAAGAAATAATTCTGTTCTAAGTAGTAAAGTATTTTCCGATCTTCCTCCCTTATGAAATGTGGCTAATGATTATGATGTAGTAATTATTGATGGACCTGCTCGCACGAGTAGGAGTACTTTGGAAGTTGCCAGACAGGCTAATTTACTAATCCAACCTACTAATGCTGGAGTTGACGATTTGGAGCCGGCTATTAAAGAGTTTCATGGTCTAGTTCAAGCCGGAATTAAGAAAGATAAATTAATCTTAGTTCTTAATCACATCGGCTCCACTAGTGAGGAACAAGTAGCTCGCCAATATATTCAAGTAGCCGGTTATGAAGTTTTAACTACCGGTTTAGAAGAAAAAGTTAGTTATCGGCAAGGACAAAATGAAGGCAAGGCTATTACTGAAGTCAGTTATCCTCGTTTACAAAAACAAGCCAAAAAGTTAATTGAAGAAATAATCGATCGAGTTATTAAATAATAACAAATATGAATATTAATAGTAAATTAGATAAATTAAAAAATAAAAAAAAGGGCAACCTGCCCCCCCCCCCCGAGCGAGAGGCCAGCCAAAATTTGCAGCAGGCAGCAGTTCCTTACCAAAGGACTACTGATGGTCGCTACTTCCGACGCACGGGACGCACTATTCAATTTACCACTCGGGTTACTCCTGACTACGACAAGATTATTAGAGAAATAGCTCACCACGAAAATTGCCTGTTAGTAGAAATATTAGAAAAATCTCTAGAATCTTATTGTAGAGAAATAAATTGAAAAGGCGATTTAAGTAATATAAAGGATAATAAAACTAAACGGAAGCAAAGATAAACTTAATAATGAGCCACGAAAAGTAAAGTGAATTTTCCTCATTCGTGAAGAATAAGCAAGGAAGAAGAGACATAAATTTTATATTTTATTGTAATCTATCTGATATATAACTGATATAAATATTAAATATAAGGGAGCGAAACCTCCTAAATCTACAACCATCTGGCTAACGCCACCAAATGAGAGTTTTTCGAATGTTCGTTTAATTTGTATCGTGATTCGAATTTTGCTCTATTTAACAAAAAGTAAAAAGAATATGGCAAATATACATAACAAATATAGTCCCGATTGGGAAAAAGAAATAAAACGTTTAAGCCTAATTTTAAAAGATGACAAAAAATCAAAACAATTAGAAAAATTATTGCAAGAACATA